TGTTTTGGTTTGCATTTCAAATTAATTCAAGTATCTTTTTTTTTTTTTTTACTGTTTTAATGCTATCATCTGCTCAGTGATGTTAATTACAACAAAAATATAAGCAATAATTTTCAGCCAACAAACTTGAAATATTTGCAAAGAATTTAATTCATTTTCTGCAGCATCACTACTCACCTGCTACATTAATTTCTTAAAAAAGTACTGAGTTAGGAATGAACAATAATGATAGCTGCTTACTTTCATAGTGCTTATTATGTGCCAGGCACTAAATGCTATACATAATAATTCATTAATACCACAACCTTATCAGATATATTCTATTATTATTCTCTGTTTTATAGTGAGGAAACTGAGGAACCAGAAAGGCTAAGTAACAGGCCTAAAGCCCAAGGTAAGAGACAGAGCTTGGATCTGAACCCAGGCAATCTGGCTCCAAAGTCCAGGCATTTAACTACATACTCTTCCATCTCAGAGTGAAAATCAGCAATCAAGAACTGAAGCTAATAGAGATAATCCAGTCATAAAGTGATCACAAATCACAATTCACCTAGAAAGTCTGCAATTTTATTATCTTTTTCTCAGAGAAAAGTGTCAATCCTGAATCAGTTTTTCTGGCATTTCCATAGCCCTCAAGGGACAGGAATGCTAACCCTTCTCAAAAGAAGTGAAGGAAAGGGGGAGGATTGCAGAAACCCATGAAGCTTTAGAGGAAGTAGGTGAAGAAATTCCAGGAGTTAGGTTACAAACAGAAATTTTAGCTGGGGTGCTGTTGGCACCCGATCTCATCAAAGGAGTCACAACCATATGTTTTTGCCAAGTTATGAGTGCATCTGGGGGCCATAGAAAGAACAGAAGAAAAACTTGACTTGCCTCACCCAAATTATAAAACCAAACCAAACCGTTGCTGTCGAGTTGATTCTAATAATTCATGGACAGAAAGTTCAGGTTTGGGTCTTTCGCTAGTTCCTTCATGTTACAGACCGAGAAGTTTCTGCTATCCAGAGCACACTGCAAGAGTTGTAACTCAAAAGTCCAGCTGCTCTGGAAGTCCAGCAAACAATTCATTCACCAAGTATTTAAAGAGGGTCCACCAAGTGAGTCTCTCAAGTCTCTTTCTCTTTTCAGGAGTAGAAAATATTTAAGATTATTAGTACTTGTGGATTACTTTAGCTCGAATAAATTTCTTTTTTAATTGAAGGTTTTGAAAATTGAGCTTTTTATCTGTAATTGTAGAATTTATATCTTTCTAATAGAAATTAGGAAACTCTGGTGGCGTAGTGGTTAAGAGTTCGGCTGCTAACCAAATGTTGGCAGTTCGAATCCACCAGCTGCTCCTTGGAAACCCTGTGGGGCAGTTCTACTCTGTCCTATAGGGTCACTGTGAGTTGGAATCAACTTGACGGCAACGGATTTGTTTTTTTTTTGGTTTTAATAGAAATTAAAGGTGGTCAGATTTTTAGGGTAGAGGTAGAGGGAATCGGACCTTATAATTGCCCTTGAAATCACAAGCTGAACAATTGCTAGTTTCTTTCCTCTACAAACTTCCTCTAGGGATGCTAGGCAGCAACAATGAGAGGCCTGTTTGAGACCTCCCAGCAACCCCACCTCTGTACTCTCAGATCCACAGGTGCTTACCCTGCTATATAGTACTTCCTTCTGGACAGTAATCATTGATGTACTCATCTTTTCTACTCTCTAGACATGTGCATATCTCCAGGGCAGAAATTCTATCTAATTCAACTAGCAAATCGTGGATACTCAGTATTTATTCAATGAATGCTGCTGAGAAAGTGTGTCTGATATTAACTTGTTCTAGCTTGCAATGCCCAAATCAAGCTTAGCCTGCTTGGGCAAAGATCTCCTAGCCAGCCTTCACCTAATCTCTTCTTAACCTGAGCACAGATCAGCTCTTCTGTTTCTCCCCTTCCTTTTCCTCCATTTCTCTTCTCCTCTCCGCTCCTTTTATCTTCTACCCTAAAATTCCGTATGTTGGGTATTTAGAGTTATTTATTGTGCCTGCTCCTCTCATCTTTGCAAACTCCCTCAGCCAGCTTTTTCCTGCTCTAAGGAGCAAGCTAATTATGTGCAGTGTATTTTAATCTTTCCTTATTATACTTTTGTGTTAGGTTACCAGAGAAACATAGGATATTTATTTGGTTCTGTCTGTTTCAGGACAGACAAGTTATATCAAGGCCCTGCTTCTTAACTTGGGCACCTAGGATACTAGGATTGAGATGTAGGTAGGGAAGCATGAAGGAATGACATATTTTACAAACTGAGATACTGAATTTTTGAAGATTGGAAAAGATGAAAGCTTCTGAAGACAAATGTCCAGGTAGAAATGTCTGAACAGGTGACTGCAGCAGTTTTGAGTCTTGCTTGCCTGTCAGAGCTTTCTTATGCTGATTATCTCTGTCGCCACTATGCAGACCACCAAGAGGATATACTTCTTTTTTCAAAGTCCTAACTCCTTGATTCTTGGCTTTTTTTCAGTACTACTGAGCTATGATGAACTTTTCAAAAAGGCTTACCAGCAAAAATCTATGGTTATCACTGGATACAGAAATTATAGATGATCTGTTTTCTCTTTTATACTTTTTTGTTTGCTGATTTGTTTTTGCAATAAGCACGTATTTTTATAATGTCAAGTTTCTAATTCTACCATGTCTAACGTGTTTACACTGCTAATTTTTTCCCAAAGCTCCTGTTCCATTCCATATTCTTTTTGAAGGCCTTGCTGGAGAAGCTCACTTTCTCATTTTTAAACAATATTCCCCTTGATCCTTGCAGAAGACCTCATTGGGAAAACAGTGAATGGATTACGGAATTGATTGCCCAGTTTAGGGTAAATAATCTAATATGCATTCTCAGGTATATATCAGCATAAAAAGAAGCCATCTAGTTTACAGATGCCTCTCCACTTTCTCCTCTTCAGCTTCACAGAGGCAGAGTGAAAAGGTTGTTTCCCCTAGGATGAAATCAAATTTGAGGCTAAAGGAGGCTGTCCAGGGTGACTGAATCTTGAACCCTGGGCTAATTGGGTGGGACATAGGAACCCCTACTGGTAAGAAATCAGATTTAAGACCTTTGTATAAATGTCACAATAAGATGCAGTTTAAAAGCTACGTGATTTTAGGGCCGAAGAATTTGATGCTGATTTTAATGTTGGAGCAATTAACAGAGGAAGATGAGAAAAACAAATGTTTGTTTTGGCTGTAGTTCAGGAGTGCTAATTACAGTCATTTTACATGAACTGCTTACACTTTCTGCCTATTACAGTTATTTTCAAATAATTAAATGTCATTAAATAGTTTAATTATAAAAGTGTTCATATGCTCAAGATGGATAGCTTTCTGTTTATGTGCCAAAATAGTTATCTGCTTATATAGCTTAGTTGCTTGCTCACACTCCTTAATGAAATAGATCACAGGATCCGCCCTAGGAAAGCATACCTGTGTAATTTAGAGTCATCCTTAGTTTTTCTTTCTCCTTCATTGGATCAGATCCAGTGGCAATGCTCCAAGTATTAAACCAACTCAATTATAAATGAAAAGCTACTCTGAAGGATAAATCTAAGTAAAACTATTTGCAGAGATTGGGAGGAAAAGATTTATTTTGCTGAAGAGGAGCAAGTTGGGAGAGTCTTCCTTAAATTTATTTTACTTGGCCAGAGTTTTAACATTTTTTGCTTTCCCTCTAAGTATAGTAGTGGTGGTTTGTGGCATTTTGATTAAAACATATTCTAAATTATTTCCTTATAACTTCTGCTGTCCCCTCTGAGTAGATTATTCTGGTTTCAAAGACTGCAGCCTTTTAAAAATAGCAATTCCCCTAATCCTTTTCTTCCTAAAACAGAGCATCTTCTTTAAAGGTTCTTTGGGTTATAGAGAATTCTCCATACCCTCACTTTCACATTTTGCAGATAATCTACTTCAGTTCATTCCTTTTGAACTTTTTTCTATTTACTGACAGTTTGATCAACAGGAGATAATTTCTGCTTTTGGCACATTGGCCAACTTCATCCTTAATTATAGTAAGATCTCAGATGGTTGTGGTTTAAGGAGAATAGGTAGTTTATTGTTATTTTGGTGGTTGGTTAGTAGAAAAGCACAAGGAAGGAGGAGTTTAGCTTTAGTCAATCCCTGCATGTCTCAGCTGAAGTGTCCTGAAAACCTCATTGCTGTCAGTCGATTCTGACTCACAGCGACCCTATAAGACAGAGTAGAACTGCCCCATAGGGTTTCCAAGGAGGAGCTGGTGGATTTGAACTGCCGATCTTTTGGTTAGCAGCCGACTTCTTAACCACTGTGCCACAGCTGAAGTTTATGGAGGGAAATTCATAATAGAGGAGGCAGGCTGTCATCACTTGAACCTACTGATAAATTTTTTTTTTAACCTTGTTGTTAGGTACCATCGAGTCGGTTCCGACTCATAGCAACCCTGTATACAACAGAACGAAACACTGCCCAATCCTACTCCATCCTCACAATTGTTGCTATGTTTGAGCCCATTGTTGCAGCCACTGTATCAATCCATCTCGTTGAGGGTCTTCCTCTTTTTTGCTGACCCTCTACTTTACCAAGCATGATGTCCTTCTCCAGGTAATGGTCCCTCCTAATAACATGTCCAAAGTACGTGAGATGAAGTCTTGCCATCCTCGCTTCTAAGGAGCATTCTGGCTGTGCTTCTTCTGAGAGAGATTTGTTTGTTCTTCTGGCAGTCCATGAATAACATTCAGTATTCTTCACCAACACCATAATTCTAATGCATCAGTTCTTCTTTGGTCTTCCTTATTCATTGTCCAGCTTTCACATGCATATGAGGTGACTGAAAATACCGTGGCTTGGGTCAGGCTCACCTTAAGTCCTCAAAGTGACATCTTCACTTTTTAACACTTAAAAAGAGGTCTTTTGCAGCAGATTTGCCCAATGCAATATGTCATTTGATTTCTTCACTGCTGCAATCATGAGCATTGATTGTGGATCCATTATCATCCATTATTGTTGTAAAATTTACATTACAACAAGTTTGAGTACCTATTACCTTCCTGGCACTAGGGATATCAAAAGGAATACTTATAATTTTACATATCATAAATGGTCTTAATGTTTAACTTAAGTATCAACTTTTATTCACAAACTTCTCAGATTATAGTAGTAAGATAGGCAATTTAGGAAATCTATATGGGAAGTAATTTATGATTAAAATGAAGTTTGGTGTATTATTTACTACTATTGATTAACAGTATTCCTCAAGCTAATCCAGTGGTTCTCAATTAGGGCAATTTTGCCCTCATCAGAGACACAGGAGACATATTTTGGTTGTCAAGACTTGGGATGCTGATAAATAATGCATAGGACTCCTCCTCACCCCCGCTCGTAATAAAGAATTATCCAGTCTAAAATATCAACAGTACCAAGGTTGAGAAATCCTGAGTAAATCGTATTGCAAAGAGCAAACTATAAATGCCAACAGGTATTAGTTTGAAGGTACAAAGAAAAAAATTTCTAGTATATTCCTCTAATTATTATCTCCTCTAATTGGTAAGCAAATTAGGTTTGGAATACTTTTGTTAAAATTTCTAATTTTAGATTAATTTACCAGAGATAAGTACTTCTGGGGACTATAAACACTTTCAGGGGACCTGAAGGTAAACCTAACCAAAATGAGACTGAAGTACAAATAAATTGAGACAAAATGCTTTCAATCCTATTTTCTTGCAAAATTTCAAATAATGACTTGCCTTATGGCCATGGGTTGAGAAACCAGGAGGTTAATTATATATGACTGCTTCTAAAATGTGTTTAGTCCAATGTAATACATTGCTAGTAAGCATCTGCTACAAGTATTTCATTATGTTCATCCTTTGGAAAGCACTTTCAAAATCTGTTCTCTGCAATCCGGAAGCAAAAGCAGAAGGTACTGTAAGAATTACTTCCATCTATATGAGTTTTGGAATCCATTATTAACATGAGCTACTGCCTAAATAATTTTAAAAAATCTGTAAGTTCATCAGTAAGAGAGAATCTGGGAGACTTGCCTGTACATGAAAGAGATATAAAAAATGTTTTTTTATTAGCACGTGTTAAGGTGATCAAGATTTTAACAAACATCATTAATCCTCACAACAACCCTGTGAGGTAGGTAAATCATTGTTTTCTAATAAACTAGTATTATTTCAAATAAAGTGCAATTGCTAAAAGAATAAATCTGCATGAGGAATAACTTTGGTAATGACACCATTCATGTATACTTTTAATATTTGTGTTTTTGTATACTTTGATTCACCCAATAAGTTGTCCATGGAAAAGTTTACTATGAATCAAATCCTGTTCAAATATACTTGAGACACTATTTAAATAAACTCTGTGGCAAATTCCTTTGTAAAATAAATCAATATTTTTTATTTTACGTAAAAAAGTAATTTTCATAGTATTTTCTCAAAGTGATACAAATACCCACATTTATCATTCCCATTATTTGGTAAGTTATCTTAATGTGGCACCAAACCAATGTAAGATTTAATCTACTGAATTAAACCTCAGCAATTTGGTATACGGCAGTGAACTGTGTTGTCACATAAAAGTCTCCAAATATATTGCGCTTAATAACGCAAAACCTGAAGAAGACTATTTTTGAAAATGTAAACAGTAAAATAGAGGCTGATAAATTTCAAAAAGTATTCTCCCTTGGGAATCTTTATTTTTTCCTTTGAAAGGAAGAGAGATCTTAGGGTCTTTATAAAGAAACATAATATTCTGGTAACTATAAAATTCTAGTGATTTATATTGCAAATCAAAGCTTCGTGCTATCAATTTAGTACTTACAAGGGAGACAGCAGATGTCACCCCAAAAATTTAAGTATTTTTTTCTCTGCCAATATAAGATTTACCAGGAAAAGAAATATCCCCAGGCATTCATTTTCCTCTTAAATACATAAAGTACATTTCTATTATTAGTCCAACATTAGTAAATATCCAGTTGCTTAATATTTTTTATAGTTGACTTATCAGCAAAATACATTTTTAAGACAATTTCCATTAGATTCAATTATGAGATAAATGTTCAGGATAGTTACAGAATTCATTTGTAACAGTAACTTTAATTAAGCCTGGAAGCTTAGATAACACTTAAAATCTACTGGTAGGTTTAAATACTTTAGAGCAAGTGGTTAAAGTAATTTTCCATTATAAATAAATAATTTAAGCCCAGAATAAACACTCTTACCTATGTATTTTTAAAAATCACTGTAGGCAAATTAGGCAATTCAATGGGTAAAATAAACTAATCCATCTATAAGCTGTACATTCAAATCCATACCAGATCCAATAGTGCACTCTGGATTATAGCGAGGTAGGGTAAAGAAATACAATCAGATATATTTTGAACTATTAAATTTATATAAACTGAAATATTGACTTCTACCCAGCTTTTATTTGGATATCCAAAAAAGAAAATTTAGAATTCAAAGGACAAAGTATTTTCTTGGATTCAAGGACAGAATTATAAAAATTTGCCAAAAATCCCCAAACTGCTGAAGTACATATAAATAAAAACTACAAAGGCTAAAAGATATATTTTATTTCAACATAAAATATGCTTCTATAAAAATAACCCAGGAAATATAAAAAATACAAACATTCTGCATAGATCTTCTATAGAAAACATTTACCTGGGGCTAAACACTGGATAATACTCCTCTGAAACTAGTATAGTTGAACTATTTTCTTGGATACCAAGTATACACAAAAGAAGCCCTTAACCTGGGGAGCATGGGCAGTAGGGAAACAACTTAATTTAGCATCAGTCTATATTTATTTCTCTGTTGCTCGAATATAAACCAATGATGACAAGAGGAGAAACTCTGGGGGTTTATTTAACAAAATTAAATTCACATTTCTGAGGCCATCATAGTGCATCCAATGTCCATCAATCTGGAAAGCTGCAGAATAATGATGTTCCTCCTTGTTAAATAATGTGGCACCTTCCAACAAATACCTGCAAAGTAAATGACAACGTGTAGCAGAAAATTATAATACTGTGGTCTTACGATAAACATTCCTTTAATTCTTAACTAAGGAATTAAAAAAATCAAGATTATTTGCATTCTGTTCCCTTAAAAACACATCCACCTGTATAAATCATATACTGTAATTGGTAATTTGGAGTAAAACGTTTTAAGAATCTCTTTAATTGATATAATTTAAGAATTTTTAAAAACATTTTTAACAGGTCAGTTCATAACCTGTATAGTTCTATTAGGGTCCCCAGGTACTGCAAATAGTTCACGCTCTACCATTAACCTAAGGGTTGGCAGTTTGAACCTACCCAGCAGTGCTGAGGAAGAAAAGGCCTAGTGATATGCTTCCATTAAGATTACAGCCAAGAAAACCCTACAGAGCAGTTCTACTCTGTAACATATGGTGCTGCCATGAATTGGAATCAATTTGATAGCAAATAACAGTTCTATTAAAGAGAAAACATGCACAGAAATACTTTAAAAGGCAAAAAGTTAAAAGAACCCGATATGTCCTAATTTGTATGCATTTATTTTATATCTATGATGATAAGTAACATTGTATGCTTAAATGATGACCTCCTATATACTAGTTTGATCTGTAATAAAAATAATAGCCAGCATTTACTGTTTACTTTCATGAGCCAGGTACTATGCTAACCACTTTACAGGTGCAATCTCATTCAATCCTCACAATAATGGCACTGTTGTCACTCTTGCATAGGTAAGAAAACTGAGGAGGCAAATTGGTGAAGTTATTGGCCCAAGGTTGCACAGCGTATAAAATGGGTTGGTATTTGAACCCAATTCTGTCTACTCCATAGCCCAAGCATTTAACCACTATGCACACCGCCACTTCCTGAGTCCCTAACATGGATTCTGATCCTACTGAGAATACATAAATTTAGAGACAGCTATGAGTTGTCAACAGTATCTTAAGGGTTAGTCAAAATCATGGTAGAATAGCAAAAAAAAAGTGAAAGAAATTTATTTTCTATTAGTTTAACAAAAATAAAAAACACCTACTTGTGATCAGATAAATCCAAGTAATAGGGTACATATGCCAGATCTTCACATTTCCAATGCTGCATATTTAAGACAACAAAAGGGGGAGCCCCATGGCAGAAAATTCGCTGGGAAAATTCTCTTAAGCCACCACACCTACAACAGAAAATAGGCATGAACATTACTATAGTTGGGACGAAGCTGCATTTCAACACTTCTGGATTGTCTTTATCACTTTAACTCCCAGAAATTAAAGTCATAAAGGTAAGTAGGTAAATTCATAAAGTAAACAGGTAAGCATAATTACCTATTATAGGTATTGGCAATGGTTTTGCTATTTATTACATGATCTACCTCTTCCAAGGAGCCCCGGTGGCAAAGTGGTAAAAGTGCTTGGCTGCTAACTGAAAGGGTGGCAGTTCAAATCCACCAGCTGCTCTGTGAGAGAAAGATGTGACAGCCTGCTTCTGTAAAGATTTACAACCTTAGAAACCCTATGGGGCAGTTCTACCCTGTCACGTAGGGTCACTATGAGTCGGAATCGACTTGATGGCCATGGGTTTCTTTTTTGTTTGGTTTCTACCTATTCCCAGAAGTTTACAAGCTATGAGATTTTCTGTACTAGAAATGATACCTTTAAAACTCTATGAAAAGCTATTTCTATCTAAGCTTACAATAGCATGTACTGATATGAAAGCTTTTATTTGTAAATACATTTTTCTCTCTCTGAGCTGATTTCAATGAGGAATAGTGGCAGAGAGGGAATTATATGATTCTTAGAGTCCTCTTTACACTGGTCAAAATTCCCTATTGCTTCTTTTTGCCAGCAGGATCTTCTACCAGCATGAAGCAAATTATCTTTTCTTAGTATTATCAGGTATTGAGCACGTGGATCAGAATACAACAAAGACAATTATACAGTAAAATCTCGATTAACCGGAATGCTCAGGTCACAGTATTCTGGTTAACAAACATTACCGACTAAACTGAGTTAACCAGAAAACCATTTGTATTTCACTACTGGTTACTAAAAATGCTCCTAAAAGATTTTAGATCACTTTCTGGACTTAAATAAGTACAATTAACTGAACACAGTTTAATTTCTCCTTCTTTTGTAATTAATTAGCTGCAAGGTCATCCTTCTAAATACTCATTGTACAATATTGTAGCTATAGAAACTGTTAAGAGATTGGGTTGAATATGTTCTGTCCCTCTGGACTTCTTTTGTTTGTTTTACTATGTTAGATTTTTTTGGTTGTCATTTACCTCTTTCTCCTAAATGTGAAGTGCAGAAAAAAAATCCAGTTAATTGAGAGTCCCGATTAGCTGGGTTCCGGTTAACCAAGGTTTTATTGTACCTACTCAGCAGTGGGGAAAAAAAGAAAAGGCATTTGGCTTTGTATTCATCAATTAGCTATAGTATCTTACTCTATATAGTGATATTTGATAATGACAACAGAGCATAAAATGGGCATATTAAACTGGACAATGGCAAAGTAAACTTCCTGAAAACTTATGAGTTGCTATTTCATAAAGGATCAATATTAAAGAGCTTATCAGCCCAGGCCTCTTTATAAACAACACAGAAATACTTTTATCTTTAATGCCTATCATATACTCACCCATGCTCTTCACACAGTTCAATCTTGGAACAGAATAACTCATCCACAGCTAGTCGTATCAAGTTTCCATGTGGAATTTCTTGGGGAGGACTATTAACAGTTGTAAAACGCATGTTAAGAACTGCTTCAACATTTTAGAGGTTAATACATTATTAGGATATACAATTTTATAGGTCAGTCCATTATTAGAAAAACTTTGAGTATACAAAGCACGACCTCTGTTATTCATGTTTGTACATCTTGTGGATATACAGAAACCAGCTGAATTCAATAAATGTTAATGCATAAGGCTGTTCAAGAAACATTCAATCTTTCTGTAAACTGATGTCAAAAGATGCAGTTATTGTTAGTTTAATTTAAACATTTTTTGAGAGGATTCAAAAGATGCAATCTGGTCTGGTGGGAAGAAAGTAGGATCCAGAGTCAGGAGTATAGCCGATTTAGTTACCTGACTAAATGCAAGTCACTTAGTTATTCTTGGCATCAGTTACCTGATCTGTTAACAGTTTTTTTTCCTTCCCCCTAATTATTTCAGAGGCTCTTTTAAAAACAAGATCTAAAATAGGCAAAGACTTAACAAAGTATGATGCAAGTATTTTAAGTATCTAAGATAAGCAGGAGCCCTGGTGGCGCAGTGGTTAAGAGCTCGGCTGCTAACCAAAAGGTTGGCAGTTCGAATCCACCAACTACACCTTGCAAACACTATGGGGCAGTTCTACTTTGTCCTATAGGGTCGCTATGAGTTGGAATCGACTTGACTGCAACAGGTAAGATAAGCATAAAATGTTAGTATTAATATAGAACTGTAAATATTTCATTATAGTTTCAAAACATTTATAAATTAATTGATACTACTTAAAAAAAAAAAAAGGAACCCTGGTGACACAGTGGTTCAGCACTGGGCTGCTAAACAAAGGTCAGTGGTTCGAACCCACAGGCTGCTCCACAGGAGAAATACGTGGCAGTCTGCTTCTGTACAGATTACAATCTAGGAAACCCTAACTGGGCAGTTTACTCTGTCCTATCACTATGAGTTGGAATTGACTCGATGGCAATGGGTTGGTTGTTAGTTGACTTAAAAAACAAGAAAAATTTCTGGAACCCTTCTCAGTTCATTATGTAGACTAAGAGACCTTTTTCCTGATAGAGATTTTAAATCAACCTCATCATATCAGCAACACAACTTATTCCATGTCATGTAACGTTTAATACAGCATCACAACTACTATACACCAACAAATAAAAATCAGAAATACTGTCAGACTTATAATGGGCAGGGTTTGCCAGTTTTCACCTCTGCTATTGAGGAATTTTTTATATACAAATTGGTAAAACATTTGGGCAAGAGTTCAATGAAAAATCCTGGCTAAACAATATATAAAATAGCAGACTAAAATGGTTCAATTTCTGACAAAATTCATGAGAGCAAGCTAAGAAATGATAGTTTTGTCCCCATTTGCTGGTAGTAGCAATGAAATAGAGTATTAAGAATACATATAAATTTTACTCTTTAGTACAAAAAAGTTTTAATTAAAACTGTTCCTTTTTCAGATGGAACTTAAAATTCACTAAATGCACAGAAAACATTTAAGATTTAAAAGCTGCTAGCATTGCCTAAATTAAAACGAAACAGATCTGTAATAAAAAAAAAAAAAACCTCCTAATATAAACAAATAGAGCCAAAATAATACAAGAAAATGGCCAAAGTGTGTCTTACAAGAGAGACATTAATTGGTAGAATCTAAAATAAGTATTTTCAACTTTCCATAAGCAGCATGATCTTATGTTAAATTGAACATGCAATAAAGAAATGTGAATTTAATAAGTTAGGTTATATGATCTACATTCCCAAATGGGACCATCCTGTTAGGCTGTTATTCTGCACCACAGGGCCATATACCCTTTCTGACAACAATGTGCTTAGGTCTGATTTTCTGTCCTGTTTTTTTCCACAAGCAATTATCTCCTTTCAAGCTTGTTTCCGGGTGGCTTTAAATGTTTCCCAACACTCCACTAGGGCTTGCCAGTTTGGTCTCCCTCCCTGTCATTTACCAGCTTGGAGGTCTGCCCTCTCTCTGAAAGGCAAAAATAGTCAGCTGGCTCCCAACACCTTTCCTAGTCACATCTCCATCCTCTCCCAGTGTTAGATTCCAAGTTTGAGGTTTCTGTCTATAATTGTGCTCTGGCCATGACATGAAGGAAGACATTCAATGTTTATTGTTCCTGTGGAATGCCAGTGGTGGAACACCACCTAACAGAGACCTATTCAGAGTCAAACACAACAAAACAATAATAAGTGCTCTTCAAGAGGCTAAAGTGATGGCACAAGGAATTAATACCTATCATAGTCATATTATTAAACTCAAAACAAGTGTAAAACACTTTGTATATTGAATAATTCATTATTTTGCTACTGAAATAATTATCAGTTGGTTTTGTGACAGACTAACATTTCTTGCATGGGACTTACTGAGGAGTCTTGTATCTGTGTGTGGTTGCTTTATAAGGAATAAGTAGCTACACAAGTTCTGTACTTTAAAAAGTAGTTTGGCCATATGTGTGTGTGTGTTTAAATACTGTTCATTAAAAAAAGTATACTATCTTACTTTTGCTGAAAGTGACAAAACAGACTTTCTAGCAACTTAACTTACTTTATGATAATTATGCGCTGCTGATCTTCCTGCACTCGAGTTGGGCATCGCCAGTTGGAACAGTAACTCTCTTGAATGGTAGACATGAGATTTTCAAGATTTCTTGTAAAATTATCATGCTCATTTCCAAACAAATCAATTATTAATGAAGCTTTATGAACTTCAGCTTTGTACTGCTGTTTTTCCATCTTGTCCCAAATCCAAAGTAGCTTCACAGTTGTAAAACTGTAGGTGTCCATTAAGTAAAGAAAACAGTCTATAAACTCTCTACCTAAATGAAGAGAGAGTTCTCTGGGGAAATTTTCATTTTCATTAAGGATGACATATAATAACATCAAGAATCCATCTATAGTGCAGGTATTTTTCAGTCTTATTTCAACATAGAGTGGTGTACAGGATACTGCTTTGCGGCCAGCTTTGATAGTAAAAACACCTCCCCAAGGAAGAACAGGCCTCCAAAATGACCGATCTTGGTTATAGTTATTTTTAATTGATGCTTTGATCTCTTCAAACAGTGTCTTCATCCTGAATTTTAGAAGTTTAAAATAAAACATGTTAACTTGTGACTTTGTATGTTAAATGCATGAATATTTTTAAATGAAAATAAAGTTATCTAAAGATTTAAACTAAATTGGGTTAGATGTTCTCCCAATGCTAAAAAATTAATATTTAAATAATTCAAACTACGCACCATTTTCTTGGCAACCTGCATAGTGCAGACCATTTCAGAAACTGCAACCTTTTTTTAAGATACAAAATGGCCATCTGATGGGCCATTATAGTAATTGTATTACTGATTTTATCAGTGATATAGAAAAATTACATAATAAAAAAAAATCTTAAAATAAATTTAAAGATATGAACTAAATTTGGTTAGATGTACTCCTAATGTAAACCTCCACTTCACCCCACAAAATATAAGCTATTCCTCATCTTCTTGTTAATATGTATGGTCCTATTTAAGAAACTGCTATATTAAAATCCTTATTTGGAGTACAGAGTAAGGACCATTTGATAGTCTTTACAAGAATTACAGTACACATTTTATTTGTGGTATAGAAAAACTACGCAATGACAAATCCTGTTGTAATAGACTAATTCTGGCATTTAACTTTGAAAGATGACATATGGGGAGTAATCGTGAAAACTGAACAGTAGTGTAGCTAACACAAAAAAATCATTTCTATTGACTTTCGGATTTGTACTTACAATTTAAACTGTGCGGAGATCCCATAATTTTAAACACAGAGGCCATAATGTGAAGATTTGATCTAGAACTTGTTAAATATTCCGATTCCTCCCCCTGTATGTTTTGGTTATGAGCTAAAGAGACCTCCCTCTGTACACTGGCAGGTACTTATCCTTACCCCCACCTTGAGGAGAGCTAAGCATTTTGTTTTTAAAGCCTTGACAGTGTTTTAATAAATGTTTGTGTCCTAGGTATGTTACATAAAGCAAAATCTAAAAACATTACAGGAATGAGGTCCTATTGAAATTGTACTGAAAGAAATGCTTTACCTGGGATAAAGAAATGTCGAAACTAAAAATAAGTTTTCCAATGTTATTTTCGTGGAAACGTGTATTTTTATGAAAAAAGGAAAGCATCTGAGGAATAGGAACAGTGAGTGACTGCGGTCAGTGTCTTATTTTGGCCATCTTTTCATACACCACATTCTCCCAAGCACAGTGAGAATCCAACACTCAATAATAACGCAGACCTCTGTGTTTTGAAATACTTGCGTGAGAAATGATTAAATTCAAAATGATCTGGCAAAACTAGCAGACTAAAAACTCAGCTCTGTAATATATTAAACACACCCACATACCCACCCACAGAGTTTTAGGCTTGAAGCAGGATACTGTGGACTCTAAAATATTCAACCCTATATTTAGTCTGAAGTGTAGATGTTTATATATAGTCCGTATACACTTGGCTCTAGTCAACCAATTTTAGGAACAAGAGGGCGTGGCAAATCTGCAGTCTAGGAAAACATAAACTCAGTTTCTTCTCAATAGGACCAGTTTTCCGACCAGATTTTAAAAAATCATGCAGCATTTATGTAAGAATGAAAATAACATTCTTCATGGTGTGATTACTTCTGCTAAATTTTAAGGATCTTTCTAGAAAGTTTATAAGACTAAGGGCCTGAGTTCACATTCCTAAATTATTGCACTGGAAAGAAAACTTAAAATCTCTGTAGTATTTTTCTTCAAATTACCTTTTAGACATGACCAAATGACAAGTAACTACAGCTCCGTAAAGCAATACTTACACTCTAAGATAATTAAACTGCGATGACATACACACAGACACACACACATAAAGCATGAAACTAATTTTTGGTCTTTTTCTCGGGGGGGGGGGGAAAGGCGGAGGGTTGGAAGAAAGAGAGGACACAATCTACTTTTAGCATTAACATGCTGATTTGTTCCAAACTAATTTACAACGAAAAGGATGACGGAGAGATGGCTGCAAACAGCTTTCCTTAAAAGTCTTCAAGTTTTCTCCACCCGTCAGAAGGCTGTTTCATTAGGCACTGTATTGAAAAGCCCAGGCAGAGGTTATTTGGTTGGCTGGCATCAACAGGCCTTTCAGTTTAAATAAACCTGGCAATCTCCCCGATTCTTATTTCTCTGGCAAAACGATCCCTTTCCTTTGCGGTCATTTCCAAGGGTGACAGTCTATTCCACATTGGCCGTGAGGACCAGACAACCTGCCCAAGGCAGTGAATGACGGACTCCCCAAGGGATAAGGAAAGGGTCCCCTTTCTAATCAGCGCACCGAAATATTCTTCTGAAAAAAAGCCACGCGCTCCCCCTCGCAACCAGCGCGGGGCTTCGGTGCAGGACGGCCGGGCGCGCGGTGGGCGCCTTCCTCCGGGCTCCGGCGACGCCCGCCCGGCTCTTAGCCCCCGGCCCGCCGCGCCCTGGAAGGCCTGGCACAGAAGACAGGTTCCGCACAGCAGGCGGGTCCCCGAACCAGGGGCCGGTGAGACGGCCGGGCGCCACTGCCCGGGCAGTGCCCACCGAGCGCCTGGGACTGCGGGCAAATGAGGGTGGGAGCGGAGGACCGGCCGCGGAAGGCGTTCCCAACTGGCCAGTCTCCGTCCACCAGAAAGCCGACTCCTCGTACCTCCCCGGGGACCGAAAACCGCCGGTGCCGCCGCACCCGTCGCCGCCGCCGCTTGCTCATGGAGAGCCAGGGCTGCTGTCGCCGCCGCCTCATCTACTAGTACCATCGGTTGTCTCGGCCTCCCCCGGCCTCAGTGCTGGGCTCCGGCACGGCCTCCATCGCACCCGCCGCGGGCGGGAGCCACCGCAGCTCCAGCGCCCAGACCCGGTCCGACCGGACCCACGGAGCCAGGACCGCAGGACGCGTCGCTTCTTATTACGGAGGAAGATTCGGCCTGCCCTCCGGCCCCCTCCCCCAGCCCCCAGGAGCCTGACGGCGCCGCTGCGCAGGCGCGAAGACGCCCCGGCCAGACAAGCGCGTGTAGGGTGTGTATACAGTATCCAGATTTGTCCAATGGAATCAGGATCAGGTGCCGGGGGCGGGACCTCGCCTAGAGGAGCGGGGCTCCAATGTTTGCTAGGCCGAAGGACTTCAATGTTAGGAAGGTGGGTGGGGCAGCCGGAAGTGGGCCGAGTTTGCAAGAAGGCGGAGCTTTGTTGGCAAACACGCTTAGCTTTTGAGGTTTGTACTATTTTAGGAATTTACTTGTTTTTAGTTTGTTTCTAGGTGTTATCGTCTCAAATTATTTACTCAGAAGGAGAAAGCTTTGTTTCTACAGTAAATTATTAATCATTAAAGCTTCTGACTTAAGTATATATTTAGAAAAAAGTGAATTAGCGTGTTAAATGCCCTTTAGTGTTCAAGGTAGTGATTGGCTAATATTCTGTAATTTATAGTGGAAAATGCCGTTAAAAAATTAGGTAGTTTTTAGTCCCATTATAGAGATGAAGAAATTGAGTTTTGGAGATAATAAGGTTCCACACAACAAGGACATAGCTGGAAACTGGAGCTGGTGTACTTAATGCCAGAGTCTGTGCCCTCAACCACTATTCCCTTTCAGTAAGCCCTAGTTCTTTTATCCTCCCATAAAGAATCTAAGCCCCACAAGGTTCTATCCCTTAGGAGCACGGGTAACTCTTGTCACTCCACCTCTACCCACAGTTAAAAATGGGGATGCTATTGAGATTTCTCCATCCAGCCATTCCACAAATATTGAGTGCCTAGAAATTGGGGCCGAAGCTCCAGAATACAGGAGAACCAATTCGGAGAGCTCAAGGCTAGCCCAGCGGGTCAGGGTTGGGCTCAGTCACAGGCTGAGCCTGGGGGAAGTTGGACACCTTTTTGACTGATGTGGTCAGCCAGAGCTATGGCAGTTACTTTCCTTATGAATCTCTCTCACGGACTCTAGTGATAGAGGAATTGGGCTGGAGGAGAAGATTGATGTACTCAAGATAGTTCCTACTTTTGGAGATTGGAATAAATGTACGTCTCTTAGAGCAGAGCGGGGAAAAGATGACTGTCCTCAAAAAGAAGAATTAATAACTGACAAAGTGAGCTCTTTATCATAATTTACTGGTTTTTCTTATTACTCCTTTAATGGTGGCATTTTACAGATGAGGAAAACTGAGGCTTTGAGAGAATAAACTAGTGAGTGTCTGTGTGGAGATTCATATGCAAAAAGTCCGCTCTGAAACCGATCCTGCAAGTTAACAACCCTTCAAGAAAGTTTATAAATGTGGATTGTATATGTGACAACCTCTCTACAAGACATGGAATTAAATTTATATTGAGTGGGCCATTATTTTCCCTGAAAAAGATATGGTAGACACTATTTCTAGGGAATGGCAATGAGATGGCTCGTTAAACTCTGCTGAAGCTTCGCTAGGCAGAAGCATGGATTCCATGCATACTTGGATCATTTACAAACTTCATTGAGACCTTTAACCAATATTTCTATAAACCCTGGTGGCTTAGTGGTTAAGAGTTCATCTGTTAACCAAAAGGTCGGCAGTTCGAATCCACCAGGCACACCTTGGAAACCCTATGAGGCAGTTCTCCTCTGTTCTTTAGGGTCACTATGAGTTGGAATCAACTCCATGGCAATGGAGTTCCTTTCCGCTCCTTTCAGAATTTGACAGCTAAGTCACTGTTTTTTTTTAAGACAGCTTTATTGAGATATAATTAACATACAATAAACTGAGCATATTTAAGGTGTACAATTGATAAGTCTTGACATGTATACACCTCTGAAATCAAGTGAACATATCCATTGCTTTCAAAAGTTTCCTCGTGCTCCTTTGTAGGTCTTACCTTCCATTCCTCCCTGCCCCCAACACCCAAGTAATCACTGCTGTATGTTGTCAGTATAGGTTTGTTTACATTTTCTGAAGTTTTATATAAATAGAATCAGACAGTTTGTACTTTTTTTGTTGTTGTTCTGGCTTCTTTCAGTCTAATTATTTTGAGATTCACACATGTTCTATGTATCAGTACTGTATTCCTTTTTTATTGCTGAGTGTATTCCATTGTATGGATGTACCACAATTTGTTTAGCCATTCATCTGTTGATGGTCATTTCCGTTGTGTTCAGTGTTTAACCCGTACCAATAAAGCTGCTTGAACATTTGTGTATGAGGTGTCACAGCGCAATAAAAATTTCACTCTGTAAAGAGTTAAATGGGTTTTATTGAGGAATAGAGCAACTCTAGTCGGGCAGCACAAAGTGAAAGTACAAACTGCTCCACCATTCTGAAAAAAGGCGGTGTTTTTATACTCAAATGTTTGGCATGACTAGTAGCACAGACATTTTAAAAGAACAGTTCTTTCTTCACATTGGTTCCTGATAAAATATGGGTAAGCAATTTTCTAGAACATTTTTGTTAATGGTTCCTGGCATGTCCTTGGCACATGTTTTCTGAGAACAACTGCTTCTCCTCTGCCCCCTTCCTTGTCCGCCTAAGAGTGGCTTTGGTTAACTTCTTATTGAGAGCCCATTCTGAACGCCTCTGTGTTTTGAAGTTCTGCTAGTACAAACTCTTTGTATGAACACATATTTCCTTTCCTCTTGAGTAAATATCTAGGAGCAGAATGGTTGGATCACACGGTAAGTGTGTGTTTAACTTTTTAAGAAATTGCTAAATAGTTTAGCAATTGTGGTTGTACCATTTAACATCCCCACCAAAAGTGTATGAGAGTTCTAGTTCCCCCATATCTTCACTGACATTTGGTATGGTCAGTCTTTTAGTTATTCTAACGGGTGTGTAATGGTATCTCCTTGTGGTTTTAATTTGCATTTTCCTACTGGCTAGTGATGTGGAACATCTTTTCATATGCTTATTTGCCATCTGTATATCTTCTTTTTTTTTGTTTCCTTTTTTAAATTGTGCTTTAGGTGAGAGTTCACAGCTCAGGTTAATTTCTTATTAAAAAATTTATACACATTTTGTTTTGTGACATTAGTTGCAATCTCCGCAATGTAACAGCACACTCTCCCTTTCCATCCCAGGTTCCCTGTGTCCATCTGACCACTTCCTGACCCTTCCTGCCTTCTCATCCTGCTTTTGGTCAGGTGCTTCCCATTTAGTTTCATACATCTGATTGAACTGAGAAGCACATTCCTCACATGTATTTTTTTTGTTTTATAGTCCTGTCTAATCTTTGTCTGAAAAGTGGGCTTGGGCAATGGCTTCAGTTCTGGGTTAACAGTGTGTCCTGGGAGGCCATAGTTTCGGGGGTTCCTCCAGTCTCAGTCAGACTATTAAGTCTGGTCTTTCTATGTGAATTTATGTTCTGTTCTACATTTTTCTCCTGCTCTCTCTGGGACTCTCTCTTGTGTTCTCTGTCAGGGCGATCACTGGTGGTAGCTGGGCACCATCTAGTTCTTCTGGTCTCAGGTTGGTGGAGTCTCTGGTTCATTTGCTCCTTTAGTGCTTTGGGCTAGTATTTTACTTGTGTCTTTGGTCTTCTTCATTCTCCTTTGCTTCGAGTGGGATGGGACCAATTGATGTATCTTAGATGGCCGCTTGCAAGCTTTTAAGACCCCAGACGCCACTCACCAAAGTGGCATGTCGAACATTTTCTTAATAAATTATGTTATGCCACTTGACCTAGATGTCCCCTGAAACTATGGTCCCCAGGCCCCAGCCCCAGCTATTCTGTCCCTCAAAGTGTTTGGATGTATCCAGGAAACTTCTTTGCTTTTGCTTTGATCCAGTTGTGCTGACTTCCCCTATATTGTATATTGTCCTTCCCTTCACTGAAGCTAATCCTTGTTTAGTATCTAATT